TTTTTTAATCCGATTAACCGATTAATCGAACTTAATAATCGGCCAACTAATCGATTATGAAAATAATCGTTAGCTGCAGCCCTAGTTATCTTCAGGTCACTTTGTTTCGAAACACTAAGCATTTATGAAGCATTTAAAAACATCAAGCAGTTTTGTGAGTGCTGAATGCAAATGTTTGCTGGGGTGCTGGCTAAAGCTTTGTGCAATGCACAAGCATTCAACAGACCTTTGTAGGTTAAATGAAACACATTTTTGCACCTTGTTTGTGTTAACACATGCACATTGTGTGTATTGCACTTTGGTGTTTAGTCTTTTACACACCACACCATAGGCTTGAGAAAGATAATCATCCACATTTATGAAATGCAGAGCAGTGTGGAACCTCTAAATGTCCTGCGATGTGTTCCCCTACAGTCAAATCAATCCAAAACCTCTGCAATCACAGGGGGAGCATAGCTAAACCAGTTGCAGCATTTCCAGTCCGAATAGACAGCCACCAAACTGTCTGGATTTGTTTTCTCATTTTGTCTCTCATAGTTGAGGTCTACCTATGACGCCAATTACAGGCCTTTCTCATCTTTTTAAGTGGGAGAACTTGCACAATTGGTGGCTGACTAAATACTTTTTTGCCCCACTGTACATATACATATATACACAAATATATTACATATACACACACACACAGAAAACTCAAGTGGAAATTTAAATCAGCTTGAAAACAGTGTATGAAAACAAAACTACAGTCAGCAGAGACTGGAGGGAAAAATACTTGGTGCAAGGTGTTCAGTTATATGATTGACACTCACAGTAGTGTAAATGTGTGGGTGTTGCCTCATGAATGAGGGGAGAAGTGCAAGGGAAGATGACAGCAACTCAGAGCAATGTCATCAGTGGAAGAGGGCAAACTGAGGTAAGTCTGCCACAGGGTGTAAGAATTCTATGCATACTTGCACATTACGGAAATTGCTACTGCTAGACCCCCAGGTCACGGTTGCTCTTTAAAGTAAAACATGAGCAAGAGTTTCAACTAACAAAAGTATAATAGCTGTGGCAGCTAGGCAAGGTAAAAAATGCAAAATAAGGAATTCAAATGCAAAAAAAGGCAAAGTTTACATCAACAGTGATGGCTTGATTTTATTAATTTTGAGAACATTACTTTTAAGGAATACAAACCACACCAATAAAACTCATACCTGTGGACATAAAGAAGGGGATTCGGAACTTTCCACTCAAGACTCTGGCTCGTAGATTTTGTAATGTGCTTCCATCAAAAGGAAGAGCACCGCAGACCAGGACATACAGGACCACTCCCAAGCTCTGAATGTGGGAGGAAAAAAACAAAACAAAAAGTAAGTAAAAGAAAAGTGGAACTCCAAAAAGCATCATGTACAGACTTGTCTGATCAAATCCAACCCAACACCTAAGCCAACACTTCAATATTTGTTGTAAAACCGGGAACTAAAACCATTACGCTTGCTGTCAACCTGGGAACTCAGAGTACACGTTTCTTCTGAAAATGCTACATCTCCTGATTTGTTGGCGCTATATAAATCCTGTATAGTAATAATAATAATAATCTATTCCAATTTTTCTGAGAAACCTTTTCAGAGAGACCACGTCTAAATGTATAGTGAATCCTTAAGGAAGCTTTGTGGTCACTTTAAAAACAACAGAGAGCCAATATACCAATAGAGACGGCCTTTCTCTCCCAGCATGTTCTTTTTAGCCCTCAGCACTAGGTTACATAGTATTTGAGGTTGAATAAAGACATTAGTCCATCAAGTCCAACCTATTAGGATCTCATTCTAGGAGTACCTGTACCCCTGTATATTACGGTCCCTTAAGAAATCGTCCATCAATGACTCCCCAATTACAATATCCTCGATTAACTCTGCATTATTAGTGACAATTAGATCTAAGATGGCATTTTTTCTGGTAGGAGTCTCCACCATCTGGTCCATGAAGTTGTCGCGCAACATGTTTAGAAATCGCCCCGCCTTTGCCGAACCCGAAGTTCCATTGGCCCAATTTATGTCTGGGTAATTGAAGTCACCCATCACGACTACATTGCCCTCTCTCCCAGCTATTCCTATCTGTGAGTGAAGATTGACTTCTCCCTCTTCCCCTATATTTGGAGGTTTATAGCAAATACCCACGAGAAATTTACGGCTAGCGTCCGTCATATCTAGCTCCAGCCATAGAGTTTCCACGTCTTCCCCATTATTTGACGTGATATCGTCCCTTATATGCACATTTAGATTATTAGGACCTATTAGGTCTTATAGGATAGTTCAAGACAGCACAAATTAAGTCAGCACACCATCCTTGGAGGATGTATAGCATTTTCGTTCATTGATACTTTCCTTGGAGGATGTATAGCACTTTCGATCATTGACACTTTGCCCGACGAAAGGGTCCTGTGCGGCTCCAAAATGTTGCATTCACATGTCACATTAAAGGAGTATGAATAAAGATGAAATTCTAAAGCAGAATGGTGTGCGGACAACATATCTTCTACCTTGCTAGTGGGGACACATCCAGTAGTAAAAACCTGACTGTTTCGAAAGATGTCACGCTAAAGGAGTACGAATAAAGATGATATTCCAAAGCACAATGGTGTGCAGACAACATATCCTCTAGATTGTATACTGTGGCGCCAACCACCAGTTGTTCCAGCACCCGTTGGATTCTGGGGTATATAACGGTATGGTGTGCGAAGGGGATATTATAGAAATCCACTAGCAAGGTTTCTCCTGATCGGCACACAGCAATAAATTAATTTATTTTTGCCACTGTAGGGATAGAACTTTTGTCAGGTTATATTATCGTTTGGTTAACTGGGAATTTTCCTCTCTTTTCCTTTATGTGTTTTCAAAGACAGGAAATTAGAGGAAAAACCACAATAAAAACATGACATGAGTTCTAAAGCTATCAAAAATGGAGTTTGGTACAAAACATGCACTTGGCTAAAGGGGTAGAGGGAGGCATTCTCATTAAGAATGCATGGAATGTGCAGGCAACTGCTCTCACCAAAGCAAAACCACCAAAATGTTGATTTATTTACAGGTTTACTTTGTAAATGGGAACCTGCATGTTATCAGTGATCAGCTGTCACACAAAATCAAGATTACGAAGCGATTCAGGCTACTTACCCAGATATCCACCTTGGGTCCTTCATACTCTTTTCCTTCAAACAGTTCTGGAGCTGCATATGGGGGACTTCCACACCAAGTCTTTAACAACTGTCCTGGGGTAAAACGATTACTAAACCCAAAATCTAGGGAGAAAAAAAAAAAGGTGAAAGTTTACAACTATAATTCAGTGCCCAGTACATACCAGGAAATAAACAACGTTAAGGGGGGTATGGAAGCTCCTCCTGTAGACAGTACAGAGGTGGCACACTTTTGTTGTGCATAAGCCTCTGAACTTTTGGTTAAATGTTATAGCACAGCAGATCAGACACTTCCTACAGTTTGCTTAATTAAAACAGCACAGAGACATGATCTAGGTGTTATATCACCAAACAGCTTTGCATGCCTTCTCAGGAACTTCAATCGTGAATTGTCCCTGCTGGATTTTTCGAAGTAGAGACTCAAACCTCTTATTGTAATATTTGTACTATGTTCCACATTACCCCTCTCTCCAAATGGCCACACCTGGTACCTGAAGCCTGGAACTCAGGTGAACACCTCTCTCTATTCAAGTACCTAAAACACTTAACTGTAGAATGATTCAGTACATCAGTACTTACCCAGAGAATTCATTTTACTCTTTGGTGGACTGGCATTTTACAAAAAGAACACTGAAAAAGTATATGCCACCGCACTCCTGACCGGAAACAAACCCAAGGTCCGGGTGGGTGCCGAACCAATCTATCTAGGGAAGACACTGAGGATGTCAAAGACAAACTGGGTACATAATTCCAGGCTTCCTGTGCCTGGCCCTTCAGTTGGTGCATTCCAGGCTGCAGCACAACAGTTTGTGCATCATGAGCTGAAGGCACCTGGTACTGTTCCTCTTGTGTCTAGGGTCCGACAACTTGCACTGTAGGCAGGGGCAATGTAGCTCAGGGTAGGCCTTGGATACTCACGGGCAGCTGGAGGTGACAAGCCAACTGTTCATGAAAAGACCACTGTAGGCAGGCAGCAGAGACTAACATAGAATAATTACTCATGTCACTTGCAGTCAAAATCAGTGGTGGGAAGGTGCTTCCTCATTGCTAAATGACAGGCAAGACCACAGAGCAGCCACAAAACTGCACCCAGCGGATGATTCCATCAGCATTAACCCCTTTCACAGTAAATCGTCAGAAAGCAGACATTTTGCATAAGGCTGTGCCCCGACTCTGGACCCAGAATGAGCTCTGTGGCTAACAAAGTACAGTGAGGTCTAGAAAGCACCACCATGTATAGTCCAGTGCTGAAAGGCCACATTCAAGGGTGGCCTACCAATTCTTGTGTCCAGTGGAGTCCACGTACAGCCTCCAAAGCTAGTGCTGAGGAAATGCCAATCTAGATAGCTCTGTATAGAGACCAGCTCAGGCAGTACGTAAATGTGATTGAAGGAAAAAAGGTAATCTCAATTGAAGACAAAAAATTTGCTAGCAAAAAGTTTACACTTTCTAGCAGGACAGAAACAAAACTAAGGCACACTGGGAGTAGGAGGGTAGGGGGTGTTATACCAGGCTGGCCACAATGTTTTGTTTGCCAGAGTCAAAACCCTCCTGTATGCAGCAGAATAACCAACTGTCTGAATACCTGCCAGTTCAATTTTTCTGGAAGTGAATCTACCAGCTCTAGAGGAACTAGGTAAAATAAAAACCAATGCACAGTAAACAGGTAATTTATCAGCCTATAGAAAACAACCCTTAAAAAAAAAAATATGACACAAAAGACAGTATATTGCGTAAAACCCGCAGGAACTAGGTGATATAAATGTTGGGAATGTTATATAGTTACTCAGGGTTATGGTCAATCAGAAAGAGTTTGAAGGCTGAAAAAGAAGTGACATTATCTCCTGTCACATTTGTGGCTTCCACAGAATTCAGGAAAGGAAAATAGAAAAACAAGCAAAATACACGCCGAGATGTTCTGACAATAACTAAACCTTTCCATCCTACTCATCAGATGACTGAAATGAGCAGCTGCCAAAAAAAAAAACAGCAGATGGGAAGATCCAAGCAATTCCAGAGCAGCTCCTGGACTCAGGATTCCCAGGATCATTTCCCTCATCTTCCTTAAATAGCTTCCTCCATAAGAAAACCTGCATGGGACTTGTTAGCATTTCTCAATACTGCAAGAAGCAATCATACTGCAAAGTGATCCTATTCTGAGAGACAAGCTACAACTGATTAAAAGAGGACATGTACTGTGGAAGCTGTGCCCAGAAGAGGCAAGCTGAAGGCAAAGGGCTAGTTATCAGTATTGACTATGGGTTCCCTGCAGCGCATCTTCTCCCAATTACTCACATACCATGCTTTGTTCTGCATCTCTTTTGTGTGGTGGTGGCCATCTTGGCAGAGGAGCAAGGTTTTGCTTGCTCATAAGCTGCCCCTCGTGATACCTGGTTGAGTAATCAACATGCAAAGAGGTGGTGGAAATCCAGATCCACAGAACAGATGAAGCACAAGATTTCTCTCAAGCGAGGGAACAGTAAACAGCATTATTAGTGACATCACCAAATCTCATGAAACTAGCAGTGCCTTTAATGATCTCAAACTGCAGATATACAGCTATGAGGCTAGAGGTACAGGCATGCCTAGGCACATTTACATGTCAGGAAGTGCACTGTTATTTTTCAGGAGGAATGCAAGGAAAGGTAGTTTTTTTCTGGACACTGCTTAGGCACATTTAACATTTTAAGATGTTCCCTATTTGATAGCAAATTTCACTTTTTGAATTCATGTCCACTTCATATTAAATCTATAATTCCTTTAATGAAAGAAAACAAAGATTGATACGGTAGCAGGCACCTTAAGGTGTGAGCTATTGTCTACATTCAGCACACCACCGGCACCCCAATGTACTGCTGGACTCTGCTATGAAAAACAATATCCCCTCCCCCCCACCCCCTCGTTATCTGTGATGGTATTAAAGTCTGGTGATCGCTCATCCAAGCACCTAGCAATGAATAGTGGGATATGTAGGGAGTGTTTGTAAGGCCCACACCCTGAGGTTCATGTTTTCAGGGAGCTCTAGCACTGTGGAGATGTCATTCAACAATCAAAGCATTAGCTTGCTTTCTTAGAAGCCATGAAATGTTTCTTTTAATAGCGTTAACCTAAAATTTAAATGAGTCGATTTTTCTTGACTAATCTCATCTTTTGCTAAAGAAACTAATTCAGTAAACAACAGGTGAAGATTATATAAAACTGCAATCTCTAGAGATTGTCATATGCCAAACACTTCTACCACCTGCGCGCTCTAACTGAGCAAGGAGGATGTTGGAAAAGTTCCTATTTGACTTGAATGGGAGAAACTTCAAAAACAGCTTGGCTGAGTCAGAGCAGGCAGGCGGCCTAATTTCTCAGTAAAGATACTCTTTTATTTGATCAATTTGGCCTTTTAAATAGCTGAATGAGTGTGAGATGTCATGCCATCTTTATGTACTTGTGCCTTTAAACAAGATAAACCCTGCATATTGCATATAAAGTAAACATTTAAAGGGAATTAAGCTTTTAAATACAATAAACCAAATACAAGTAATTGCAACATGCTGAAGTGTTACAAAACTTGCTTTTGTTAATAGATTTGTAAAGTGTGTAAAAGGGGGAAACAATGATCAGTAACACAGTGGCACCAGGGACTTGAGAAGAAAAATCTTCAAATTGAACCCGAATATATTTGGCAGCATATCAAATATGAGCAGAGTAACATACAAAACACTCCGTTCATTTGTTGCCATCAGCTCATTGACTAATACTATAGTAATGGGTCAAAATAACCACGAGATGCTCTCCGGGACAGAGATGGCCCACTTTCATGAGAGCTGTGGCCCTGAGGCTCCTTGGCACTGCGGTATCTTCATGTTTAGGGGAGAGAGTGAATTAGAAGTGTTCAGTCATAAGCCCAAATGGTAGCTTTACCCCAGTGCGTCCTCATCCAAGCACATACACCAAATGTCTATAATAATAAACCAGGTTAATTTGACCCTACTGCTGATGTGTTGTTACAATAGTAATTCTGCTCAGAATGGAGAGGAACTGCGAGTTCAGACATTAGAAGCTCCATTATGCAAATTTCAATTTTGTCAAGCAAAGACGAGCACCCACCCCCACATGTATTCTTGTTTTTCTTGTTGGTCTGTAGTACCACATTAGGTGTCTTAGCTTAAGCAGACACAGTTCTAAGTTTCATAATTGTGGAAACAAATGAGGAAATTCTGAATAAGGTCACCAAATACTAACAGGTGAGGAAAAACAAGCTCATCATGAGACTCTCTGTACATTTTCAGACATGACTGAGGACTGCAGATTTAAAAGACCATTCCATTAAACTATTAGGGCAGTTAGGTTAAAGGCTGAAGCTCAGACTTCCTTCTACGCCAGTGCCCTTTCCTGCAGGGATGTCACCTCCACCTTGTCTTCCTCAGCTCCCTGCTGTATGGAACAAACTGCACAAAAAGCAAGTTACAGAATACAGTGTGTAATAACCAAGTTCAAGAGCTACACAAGACAGGGGACACCCACTTTAAAGTGAACCTGTACTTCTTGTTAAACTTTTAAAAACAGATGCCCTGTCTAACAGCAGACATGATAAGATGTCACTATTGCCATTATTTGCCACAACAATACTCTTCTGTGCCCCTCCCCTCCAGACTTTGTTACTGGGGTCTGACTTACACTGCCTTCCTGGCAAAACCCAAATAACTGCCATTAACAAGTCCAGAAAGATTGACTCAGCAGGCAGCGTGGGCACTTTTGTTGGACAAGGGAAGGGAAGTTAGTAGAGCTTAGCCCTAAAGTCAGAGAATGTGAGACTCCAATTCCTAAGGGTAAGTATATAAAAGAGTGGCGAGTTTCAATGTAATAAATGTAGGTAGGCTTCTGGTTGGATTTGGGCAGCCAACCATTTCTTTACCTTTGATAAGCATTGGTGGAAGTTATTTAATATGTAGACACTTATATAATATATCCTCACATATTTATGCCATAAATAAATAAAAATATTTAATAACCTGACAGATTAATAACAAGCAATAATGAATTCTTGCAACATCCAAAAAAAGATGTTTTGTAGTTATTCGTGTAGACATTCTAATTATTTGAAATGATGGTGTGGGCCATTTATGACCACCCTAGTGACAGTTCAGGAGGGCTGCACTGCTGAGATATGGCAACAGACAAAAAATAAGCCATGTTAATGAAATATTAAGCACTTAGTATTTGTATGTACATAGATCTGTGTGATTATTATTTAAATGACCAATCTGACTTTATTGAATTTACATACCCGCAATCTTGATGTTAAGATTTGCATCAAGCAACAAATTCTCAGCCTTCAGATCTCGGTGCACAATGTTCCTGCAGTGACAAAAATGAACCGCGGTAATAATCTGCTTAAACTTCTTGCGTGCTTCTTTCTCTGCCATGCGCCCATGAGCCACCAGGTGATCTGTGAGAGAAAAAAATAAGTCAGTGCTAGAGTCAAAACAAAAACTAGTACAAGTCAAAAGAGGCAGACATATTACTTGGGAATAATTCAAATGACTTTCATCAAGACAAAACCTATCTAGATTGCCAGCTCAAACTTTTGATCAACAACATAAGGGACACACGATACGTTTTTTTTTTTGTTAACGAGTACCAATATTTTTTTTCCCGACACTCGCCGACACCGAGTTCCCCCATCAGGAAGTCGGCTGGGCGATCATGACCCGTCGCCTGGCTTCCTGATTGCCTGGGGAGCCGGTGTAATATCGAAAGAAATCCTGACCAATCAGGAAGCCTGGAGATGGGTCATGAGGTGCCATCCGGCTTCATGATTGGTCAGAAAGCCAAGCTGCCTAGCGACAAGTGAAGCCAGCTTCCAAGCCAATCAGGAAGCCAGGCAGCACGTCATGACTCACCACTCTTTGATATACTTTCCCTTAGGAATTGGAGTCCGACATTCTCTGGCTTCCTGATTGGCTGGAAGCCTAATACACTTGCTGGTAGGCAGACTGGCTTCCTAACCAATCAGGAAGCCAGGCAGCATAGCAACAAGTGAAGTCGGCTTCCTTCTGCAGTGGTGGAGTTGCTCTAGTCACCACATTTTGCCCCTTGTCGAAGTCGCTCAAATCCTCACGCTTGCACATTTTTATTGTTTCCAACACATCAACTTCAGGTACAAAATTTTCACTTGCTGTCTAATATATGCCCCCACTTCCAGGTGCCATTGAAAGGGGATAAACAATGTTATTCACTTCACCTCTCAGTGGTCATAATGATATGGCTGATCAGTGTATATAGCGCCGTCAATTAACGCAGCACTTTACATTCACACCAGTCTCTACCCTCAAGGAGCTAACAATTTAAGGTTCCTTTCTGCAGATTCAGGTCAATTTAGACAGGAGCAAGTTAACCAACATGTCTTTGTGGTGTGGAGGAAACTGGAGTACCCGGAAGAAACCCACCCAAAAACAGAGAGGTGATGCAAACTTTATGCAGATAGTGTCCTGACCACACCTTGACTCAAATCCGGAACCGCAGTGCTTCAAGCCAAAAGTGCTAACCACTGAGCCAAAGTGCTCAGCCACAAAAATAAAATGGAAAGATATTGTATGCCAACCATTATTAAGACCAGAGGAAATGGTTCAAGACAAGGAAAGCAAAGGATATAAACACCCCCCACCCTATCCCAGGCTCTAACCACCCACCTCCCTCCAAATCAATGTATGACAGAGTCTGCAGACAGTAGAAACAACTGTTTATAGAAGACGCACAAAAGCACATCATATGCTCACCCAAATACAACTAGTCCATCCACAGGCACTGAAGTGTGAGATGACGGAATACGACTTCAGGATCTTATTGCAATGAACACTACACAGATCTGAGGCCTTTCAAGCTCCACTTGCCTGCTATAGCCTTTGTCAGACTGAAGATATATACTTTCATCACGTCAATTCTTACCCATGAACGGCTACTCCATGACAGAAGAATAAACATTAAAATCGATAAAAAGTCTACGTTTAACTATAGTTACATAACCCTCTTACTACACTTTCTAAATCACTAGAAGGGTTGGTTCTTCACTGCATGGTACAGCTTCTTTTTATTCTGCCTCATTCAAAATGTCTGAAACCTGTCAGTCATTAAAAAGGAAACCTGTCATGAGAAAACTATGTAGGGTGCCGTTGCGGACTCCTTCCCAAAATGTTAGTTGTATGGTTGTCATGTTGAGGCTTTGGTAATCCACAACAAACAGAGATAAAGAATTCTGACTTTTACATGCTCATTGTGGGTCAGTCACCTTTAAGTAAGGAAGGCAGATACAGCCTCACAACATGCAATTTTCAAAACACAAGCCAGCAAATAGCATATTCTCTCGTGCCATTTGTAAAGCTGGTACCGTAGCAAGTTGAGAAGAAGAAAAAGCCCCTCCGTTCTTTTTCTGTCTGTTTCCAGATGTGGGGGGGATCTCCCTTCCTGTACTGGAGATGCAGCAGGACGTGAGAAGGAAACACTATAAAGCAAGGGGAATGTCCCTCTTAAGCTGGTCATACACTAGTCGAATTTCATACGAACGTTCATATGAACAATTTCATATATGAACAACATATGATAATGCCACCAGAGGCACAACAAATGTGGACATTTTGTTTGATTTTATTCTATTTTGGAATGAATGGAGTTTCACACAAGAAAACCATATTCATTTTGTTTGAGAAAAATTTCCCATCCTGCTCCTGCTCCTAGTTTGACCCCATAACTATTAGAAAAGTGAACAAATGTACCGAAATTTTTTTTTTTTAAACAAACCTCTACTGGAGTATGGCCAACTGTAGAGAGCGGCCATTGGAACAGAGTGTCTTCATTGGATGATTTCTTCTCCCGTCTTGTCCTGAGACAAGTCCTAAAATGTTTGATTTCTTATTAACTCCTGACTTGCTGACAAGGATCAGCAGGATTTAAAAAAAAACAAAGACAGTGGACCTACCAGCGATAACCAAGACAGCAACCAAAACTTGACAGGGTCCCCATTCACACCTAGAAGTTTTGGGAACGTGCGTCAAATGCGCATATTAATACACTGTGAGGCGCGTTCCCAAAACATGCTTGTGTTGCCATTACTAGTTAATGTCATCCCAAATGCCGGAAGGAAATCTTGCATCAACGCGCACAAACACGTGCAAAAAAAAACACAAAAACCGGGAAACGCGTTGCAGATTTTTCTACGCGAGTTTCTTTTCTGCGTTTGTCACAAGTATAGAAACCCATGGAAATCAATGGGGATGCACAGCAAATGGGGAAAGAAAATGCACATGAGCAAGCACAAATGTGTGCAACCTCAATGCGTTTGCCAATTTACTATGTGTAAATGGGGACTTGGTGATCCAACCCCATTTGCTAAATTGAATAAGGCCTAAAATTAAGCTATGGTTTGCTTTAAAAGCTTTTAAAAAGCTGCCTACAGCTTATTGAGAGCTTTGCAAATGCTTGCTGTATGCACTGTTGCTATGCAAGCTGCAAGATCTGCAACAAAACCTTTCTTGCCTACCAGCGGTAGAAGGGTAAGACTGAGCTTGCTCCAGAGAATAACTTTCACTGCAATCTATGGTGATATATACAAACTGCTAAGTACATTATCTGCTTCCATGAGCCTACAGCAGAATGCTGTGATGTGAAGGCTATAGAAAAGAATGAGCAGTAGCTTTATAGCAGCTCCCATCTGGTGGGACCAGCATTACAAATGCACTGATGTGAATGGGGCTTTGCTACATACTAAAACTCATTCACAGCCCAGTTTTGTTTCACGATAGGGGAACCCAGCAGGTTCCAAACATTGCCATCCTCCGGCATCAGGGATCAAAAAAATGCAAACAGAAGAGGCAGAAAGTACTGCTTCAAAGTCTACTTATCAAAGAAGTGAAATGAACGACTTTCAAGCTGAAACTCTTACGCATATCTTCTACTACTCGCAGACCTAACATTTCACACTTGCTACTAGTCTGGCAGCTGACTCTCACTTGGCGCTCCAACATCAGGACATAAAAGTGATTTAATTCAATGCAACTTTTATTAATCCAACTGTGCGTCCGGCATTCATCCTGCGTTTCTGTAGTGAAACACTGGATGGAAGAGCACTCGTCCTATTTATAGGGGTGGTTGCTGAAGGAATGCAAGGAAACCAAAGTTTTGCTCTGCAGTGGGAATATTTGGATAGCCAGGAGGCGGGTGTAAGAGGCAAAGAGATGATTTCACAAGGAGGGTTCAGAACATGATGTTCAGCCAAGTAAATGGGGGCACTGAGATCCCCTAAGACCCTCAGAAATTAGGCCACTCTGGTAGTAGTTGAATGTTTCCTTCCTAATCCCTCTTTTTTTTTAATCCCCTGCAGTACTGTAGCTGAAATTCCATGACTGCAATTCTATGTAACTAAGCAATAAGACGACGACATGATATATAATGTTCCGCGCCGTACTGTAACAGTGAATTGGATTAATATTCTCTTTCTTGTAGACTCCTGTTCATCTCTTCATAGCCCCCACCAGCAGCAGATGGGTTAAACGATGTTATGACTCCCACACACTATACATCCTGTTTACAGAGTCAGGCTGCTGCTGCTGCATGCATGAAGGACCAGTATCTCATTACCAGTCACGAGGCTAATTTAACCCTGTCCTGACCGACAATAATGGAGTTTGTGTTCTACAACATGTTTATGGCATGGCTCATCAGCTGCTCTGAGTTTTGGGATGGCTGCTGTATAATCCTACTGCGCATTCACCCAGAGCGACTGACATCACTGTGTGTTCACGCAATGCCAGTTTTCCATTTCGCAGTAAATAAAAGGATCATCCCAGGGATTTAGAAAATACTCCCATCAAGGGAATATCAAAAGTAAATGGAATTTAGAGACTTTTACAGTAGTGATTAAATTACCCTAAAAGTTCAGCTTTACCATTCCAACATCAAATATGCTAAACAAACGTAAAGAGAACCTGTCTTTTGTACAGCAGGCCACAACAGATACACTTGCTGGCTCCACAAGCTAGTCATGTGAAAAAAAAAAAAAAGAAAGTACACCCTATTTGAATTCTATTGTTTTAAGTAGGGATGCAATGATTCCGATAGTAGCATCGGTGCCAATACCGAGTACTCACCCCAATAGGTGCGGATACCTTCACCGATACCGGAACCTCCGGTCAGAGGAAGATTTTCTGTGACAGGCAGTGCCGTAGGGGAACATGGAGCCAGGCCATTACCCACCGCCCGTCTTCCTGAATGCCCGGGAAGCCGGCCCCATGCCAGTGGAAGCACCGGTATCGGCACTCGGTATCGGCCAGTACCAAAAGCAAAATATCGGTGCTCTAGACCGATAAAAACGGTATTGGTGCATCCCTAGATTTAAGTATCAGGACATCAGTTCATTGAGGTTTGCGGGCATTTGTTGTGCGGGCAAACGTATGCACAGGTCGCTTGAGGTCTCGCTACAGGATTTCAATCGGGTTGAGGTCTGGACTTTGACTGGGCCATTACAACATCTTGATTTTTTTCTTTTTCAGCCATTCTGTTATAGATTTGCTGGTGCGCTTGGGATCATTGTCCTGTTGCATGACCCAATTCCGGCCAAGATTTAGCTGTCAGACAGATGGTCTCACATTTAACTCCAGAATACTTTGGTATACAGAGGAGTTCATGTTCGGTGAGTGGTCACTGGAACCTAGTGACTGTAGATGGAGAATGGGGTCCAAACAGCATGGGACCAGTACCAAAGAGCAACTCCACTGTAAGGAGTTTAGTCACTGAATGTCACCATTCTCACGTCATGTTTCCTTCTGTCCTATATTAATCTAACCCCTAAGTCACATCATTCCACACTTTTGCTGATGTAACTAACTTTATTAATTGCGTGACTTACCAAATATCTCCCCTCCGCTGGCATATTCTGTCACAAGATAGATCATCCTTTCGGTCTCCATCACCTGTAAGAGGTACATGAAAGAAGGATATGATAAAGATAGACAAAAAAGATGAAACAATGACTCAGTTGCAGAAGGATCTAAAGAACAGCTGCATATTTAAAAAAAATGCTTACATAAAATCAGGCAGCTGTGGACACCCCTGTCTGTATTGGTACAAGGAGAAGAGGGGACGGTTTTTAGTCAATCTCCAGCAGGAGCCGTTATTGACAAGACGTCTCTTCTTTTCTGTTCTCCAACTGATGAACCACAACACAAATCTACAACATCCAGTTCAACCCAGCCAGCGGTTGTCTATCAGCCTGGCCGTTGACTAAAAGAGGACTAAGGGCTTAAATATACTTTTTCTAAGTCCACCTAAACTCTATAGTTTTGTTTTTCCTTTCACAGTGATAAAGAGGCATTTTCAAGACAAGTTGACATGTTGGCAAGCTGAATTTCTCCTGCACCCTGCTAGAGAGTTTTGGAGGGGGTGGCAGAAGCTGAGAAAGACTTTATTACACTTCTTTAAGCCCCTGCAGATAGAGCAACATGTTGTAATTTTAAAGGGCTGTGGGCAGAGCTGGTGTGACTAGTCACCAATAGGGTTATCAACAGTGCCAGAATATAAACAGCAAGGATGGCAATGCTGAAGTGATTTCACTGCAAGTGGAAGAGTGTTGTCACCCTATCAAAGGAAGTACCTATTCCCTGGTTTCTTTGGCAAGAAGTAAATCGAAAATGTTCCAGTGGGTTCTTGGAAAACAGGCAGCCCAGTTTTCCCAGTTCTAGCGGTATGGACAGCCTACATCATATAAGTGATTTTATAGTGTGACCATAGTTCTACTCTACAGTTTTCCAGTTTTATTAGCTTTTCTAACTCTTCTGCTGAGGTCCCTTGAATATTCTGATCCGGCCAAAATAGATTTTAACAGAATTATGTTGCACAGAATTATGTTGTATTCACATACTTTTTCCTTCAATTAAAAACATTCAATAAAGTTAAAAGAGGCAAAGTAAAATGTTTGTTATATAAAAGTGAAATGAATTCAAACTGAAATTATTAACAAGATAAACAAAAAGAAAAGATCACATTTTAGAAGGCACAGTTGTAGAAACCTGGAAAATTCCAAATGTTCAGAAACTTTTCTAACAATTTTTTTTCTTGTTTCTTAAAAAAAACAAAACTGTCCTCTGGCTCTTAAATAGGACTAGCGGTTTCCAAAAATTGTACAATAATTTAACCATTCCTATTCACTTTAACAGTATTTTCCCATACCTAACAAATAAATGCTACAAAATCTGTGGTCTGTGGTTCACAACGACCAGGCCGCAGCCGTCCTTCTGTTGTGTTGTGAGGTCCTGATTTCCTAGGCTCACAGAGTCTAGTTATGTGGCCACTTGCTGCCTCCTGCCCAGTTTATTTGGGCATCAGTAACAGGCTGCTACTTATAAAGTCCAATCACAGCAGCCAGTCTTCCTCCTCCCCTACATGCAGAATGTACGGTGATATAGCTCATTCTCCCCACATACCAGATCACCCCCTAGTAAGGCAGAGTGGCCCCCAATTTGCAGGCAGTGGGCAGCTGCGCAGGGGATATGTGTATGGGCTGTGCAGAGCATCCCAGGATTAGAGTGCCACCCCCAGCTGATGGAAGGGCACTAGATGGTGGAATTGTGAGTACAGAGTGCCAGGACCAGGGCATATGAAGGCACTACAATGCTAGCTGTCACTGTATAGCGACCCTACACCATTATTCACCAGTCATATAGCGGTTTCATGATGTTTGGAATAATAGCAGATTGCAATGTATCTGGCCAGTCTAATAACTCTGCATTTACACAAGAGCAAAGTGGTAGCTGGATTTACACCTAGTTGCTATTGTGTACATTAAAAAATATTAGTGTGGCAGCAGATTACAATCTCTTAACAATGTACGTTATGTGTGTTGGAGCACTGCGGTGGCACTGATGCCACATCAACACAGCTTAAAAACACATTTTCACAGCACCGTATTGTACCCTGTGCAGTATGCTCCGGGTTTGCATGTGCTGCTGTGTTTTTTTTTTTTATAAATTCTTTATTTATAATTTTTCCAAGTGGTATAAAGACAATGAGTATAAAAAATACAGATAGGAATCGTACAGAACATACATAGGGTATTTCAGCAACATGTGCTGCTGTGTTTTTTTTTTTTATAAATTCTTTATTTATAATTTTTCCAAGTGGTATAAAGACAATGAGTATAAAAAATACAGATAGGAATCGTACAGAACATACATAGGGTATTTCAGCAACATGTGCTGCTGTGTTTTAAATACATATTTTAAAGTTAGGGCATGGAAGGTTTTGGAAGGAAGTTAGGGCATGGAAGGAAGGTTTTGTACTAAAACCTAGTCTCACTAAAGTTGAGAACCACTGTATTAAGGTATAACAGTCAAGCAAGAAATGAGGAGGCTGCCACTGTTGGCCTTTCCGTATCAAAATACTACTTTGCCTGGTTATAATGTTGTGGTTTAAATACTCTTTGCATCCCTAACCCAGAGAGTAAAGAGTTAAATGAGAGGCAGAGCCATCTGTCGATCAGCCAGCGGGGTGGATCTCAACAGTATTTAGGGGGATCCGTCCCGGCTGCGTCAGCATATAGCGTACAATAGCCCGCTATATACTGAGCTTTGGGTCACCGTAGGACATTAGTATATGTCCTCCTGCGACCCTGAAGAGAACTATGGCCAAAAAAGGTTGCCCCATAGTTCTCTTTTAAGGACTTTGTGCTTCCAAAATTTCTAATGAACAATAGCATAAAGTAGCAATTGATTGCTAAGGAGCTGGAACAAATGGTGCAAGCTTCACATTTAGCATACAGAAGTCTCTTGTAGAGATCAATTGCACACGTATGGAGCACTGTGCCATCATACAAGATTGATTGCGGCTACATGTGTAGCTTGCTCCATAGAGAGCCATGTGCTTGATTCGTTTAGCTTTCAAGAATACTTCTAGTGATTAATTGCAAGAGATTTTTGTCATAAGATTGCGCTACTAAAAATCTCCTGTATTGCGCTAGACTAATAAGTGGTTTAAGTCTCTCACCAGCATAAAGTACAATCACCTATGTAGTACAGATGAAACTCGAATAATTAGAATATCGTGCAAAGTTCATTTATTTCACTAATGCAACTTAAAAGGTGAAACTAATATATGAGATAGACTCATTACATGCAAAGCAAGATAATTCAAGCCGTGATTTGTCATAATTGTGATGATTATGGCTTACAGCTCATGAAAACCCCAAGAACCCCAAATCCACAACCTCAAAAAAGTAGATTATTACATGCAATCAATAAAACAAGGATTGTACATAGAACAATATCGGACCTCTGAAAAGTACAAGCATGCATATGTACTCAGTACTTGGTTTGGGCCCCTTTTGCAGAACTTACTGCAATTACTTTTGCACGATATTCTAATTATTCGAGTTTCACCTGTATTGTCTTCCCCTACGACTGCCAGAGCCAATAGTTCTTCACATCCCCTTGCTGTAGGCACAAGTATGAATTTTTACCTTTTGTAGTGGTCAGAACTGGAATAATGAATAGCTAATGCTGTGGCTGGATGGTGCCTGCATGGTCAGTTGCCATCATAAAACTTTGTCGCCACTGTTTGTTTAAACACATGATACAGATTTATGACTAGATAGGAGTTGTTTTCATTTGCTTCTCTTAGGCGGAGCTGGGGCCATTGCCCATGACTTGAGAATTCTGCTATTCTCCTGAAATAATGAAGGCCATCATGGTCATTGGTTAAAACTTCATGCCGGTCAGTTATTTGGTGTTCTGCTGCTTCCTAAGTGTTTGTTATTGGCCTGAAACAGTGAATGCGCCATGTTTTTTGACTGAACGAGATGGACTCGGGTCTCTTCATTCACTGCACCCAGATTACAGGCTGCATTGAAAACTGCTCATCTCTATGGGTCTCTTCATTCACTACACCCAGATTACAGGCGGCAAAGTACAAGCATGCATATGTACTCAGTATTTGGTTTGGGCCCCTTTTGCAGCAATTACTGCCATTACTTTTGTACAATATTCTAATTATTCGAGTTTCACCTGTATATCCCTAAGGCTACTTTACATTTAACTGGCTGAAAAACAACCAAATGAGTTTTAGTTGGAGTGAAAATAGCCAGTCTGCTAAAACAGAAAATCACTATTTTCACTCCAACCAAAACTCATTGCACACTTAGTATAAGCAGGTTGATTTGTCTTCCATCTTCTCAGACCTGGTTTCCCAGATATATAAGACAACACTTACCTTGTGTGATTATTTTCCAGCTGCTTCTACTATTAATATTCACAGCAGATAACATTTAAACATGACAAAAGCAACAAACTCCTGGTGCATAGCTGATGGCTCCAAACTCCAGAGTCAGCCCATTATAGTCTATTGGCTCAATTCTTTAAGAGCAAGGAGTTATTTTGACACCATAGGCTCAATTTACTAAGCTAACACATCAGGATGTATCCTTTGGCAGATGTTTTCTGTTGAGACCTATGAAATTTGAAAATTAGACACATGGCTGAAAATAGGAAAATAGTGCCTTAGAATGGTGTTAGAGCTTTAAGAATTGAGCCTAAAATTATAATAAGACGATCTGTTTCATCTAAAAATTTTCAATTGACAAACAAATATTACTATCCAATGCAAGCCTGCCGAGTCAGAGCTAGAGCTCTCCAATCAGCGAACTTCAAGCTCCCTGCTACTTTACATTTATCTGGCTGAAAAACAACCAAATGAGTAGAAAACTTCAAGCTCCCTGCTGATTGGAGAGCACTAGCTGTGACTCATTAGGGGGGAGTGTCAGAGCACTACAGAGAGACCACTGCTGCCACATGTAGAGCAAGGGTCCTTCTCTACAGCATGCTGGCAGAGGACAGGCTTTTCTAACCAAGCTACGGCTTCTTTGTCTACATAATGAACTGCAACACTTGAGCACTTTTCATTTTGAAGCACCTGGACTGTATTTAGTTGATTTAAACTGAAAGTTGGATTTGGCTTTAACAAAGGATTGCCAGATGGGTCTATCATTTGGGACCAATTAGATTCGCCTGTGTATTAAAAATTTAGATTTTGGTTGTGCATTAGACTCAATCACTGAAAGACCATTTAGTAATGTGCAATTTTGTGTCAGGGTTTTAAGAGCTGAGTTTGTAAAGACTTTTTAGCTTACAGGGCATTTCAAGTTTTGCAAGATCATAAACATGCCACAGGTAGTCAATCAATCAGTGCTTCTGTCATTAGAAACAATGAACAGATCCAGTATACAGGTGAAACTCGAATAATTAGAATATTGTGCAAAAGTAATTGCAGTAAGTGCTGCAAAAGGGGCCCAAACCAAGTACTGAGTACATATGCATGCTTGTACTTTTCAGAGGTCCGATATTGTTCTATGTACAATCCTTGTTTTATTGATTGCATGTAATATTCTCATTTTCTGAGATTGTGGATTTGGGGTTCTTGGGGTTTTCATGAGCTGTAAGCCATAATCATCACAATTATGACAAATCACGGCTTGAATTATCTTGCTTTGCATGTAATGAGTCTCTCTCATATATTAGTTTCACCTTTTAAGTTGCATTAGTGAAATAAATGAACTTTGCACGATATTCTAATTATTCGAGTTTCATCTGTAAGCATTACATATACATTGCCTGGAAAGAGACGTATAGGTTTGGGCTTTGTGCTTTTAATGGCTTCTTAAATCATCTCTGTAAGAAATACACAGGATCCAAGTAAGCACAGGGGTGATCTCCCCCAAAGGGATCATTTCAAGGGGGATAAAAAAAGGAAGCCAGGAAGATGCTTACCTGATACAGCCGAATAATGTGGGGGTGGCAAAGCATCTTCATAATCTGCACCTCACGGAATATTTTTTTCAGATTTTCCCCATCTAGCTTGGTCTTGTCAATGATTTTTATGGCAACCTGCAAAAAGAAAATAATGCTTAATGGAATAAAACAAGTGCCCTATACAGAACAATATTTTATATTCCTATATAAAAATGGACAAAGCTACCCTTTGCATGATACAGCTTAGATGTACAGATCAGATACTAGCTAATGGTGTACTTGAGATTACTACTTTGAGACAAATCGGACAGTAGACCAGAAGTTAAAAAAAAAAGTTACTTCTCTGCCCCAAACTGCAATGAATTTTTTATACCAGAGCTGGCCTTAATCGGAAATATATCATTGTTTTGTGGTTATATACAGTATATTGTCTTTACAATGCTCAGAACAAAAAATTCACTTAACATTTTCACTTTCTTTTAGTCAAATAAGATATTACATATACAGTACATATTCTGTATTTTCATTTTCACCCAGCAGGGGAGCTGTTGGCTCATTTTCACATGTTTACCCGAATGTTAATTACTAGTATGTAATGAAGCCTTTGGTATTGACTTTTCTTGCCCAAGCCCTTCATATTTTAATATTCCTCACTAACCCCTGTCCCTGACTGCAGTGACTCCACATCTTGCCTACTTTCAATTCCAAAAGATGTGCGCCAAGCCCTTGGCTTCCTGTATCTTCCATGTGACCATCTAGTTAACTGCAGGAGAACTACAATTCCCATGAATCTCGGGTAGGCAGCAGCAGTGGGCAAAAGCAGAGAGTGGATCTGCAACTGGGGTCAGTATGCACCAGAGGCAAAGACAGAGACAATCCTGGACTCTGCCAGCGTTCAGGTAATCCTGCACTGTGCACAGGATGGCCGACCAGATACAAGTCAGACATTTTTAAGGCAGCAGATAGAATAAGCCTTGCTTTCACAATCCTGGGAAAAGGGGGCAAAATTATTTTACTGGCACACAGCAAAGCTTCTGATTGTACATTCTCCTCAGATCTACCAAACACTATGTAGTGCAAGGACCTGTCATATTACATTGTTGCATAGCTTGATAAAATCAAATGTTGGTTGTACAAAAATTGTACAGGCAGATTGTTTTGTATATAGCGAATCTTATTTTTAGTGGTTTGATTGATGCAAGTATGTATACAAAGTCTAAGATGCAAACAAAGGTGCATAAAAACATTGCTTTTTAAATATCTTAAGATAGGCATACACTGGCTGAAATATGACCAGTCCATTTTCCAGTAGTCCAACACTCCCTCTGTGAATCGGACCTACAGTTCTGCCATCAGCAAAGTTTATGCTCCCTGCTTAGAGTAGTTAACGGTGCCAACTTGAGAACACAATTAGAAGCGGTGTCATCAGCGGCGAGCGTGAGGTGGGGAGGAGGTGCGGCGCACAGCGTGTGGAGCTGTGAACAAGGCCAACTGATCGGAAGCCGATTAATCGATTATTGAAAAAGTTGACAACTTTTTCAATAATCGATTATAATCGATTATGTCGATTAGTTGTTGCAGCCCTATATATATTATAGTGGCAGTGCGTGGCAATGCCATGGTGTCTTTTGGCAATATAGTCACCCAGGACTCTCAGTCAGGGGTGCTGAGCAATTCCAGAAAGCACAAACGTTTACTGGGAAAGAGCTGGCTTTGCAGTTCTTCCCAGGTGTTCCGGATTTGGCTTGGGTTCCTGGAACTGGGAGATTTCAAAGAGCATTGGGAGGGATGGAAACTCCCTTTCTGGGTCCGGACTTTAGTGGTGACCAGCACTGAGTGGTTGTGCACCTGTGCACAGCCCTTATGAAGAGAATGCTGGCTAATGTGCAGAGTTCTACCTGTGAGACAGAGGAGGTCTCTGTGCAGGGGTCCGGAGGGCTCCACCCTGGAACCAGCCTGTGTGGCAACACACTTTGTGGTGAGGAGCAGCCTGTGCAACTGAAAGAAACAGTAGGGACTAGTCTTGGAAACAAAGAGGACCAGTGGATCAAAACGCTGAAGGTAAAAGCCTTATATCTATATAGATATATATATATATATATATATATATATATATATATAAATAAAATGAATAGTATGTATGTATACAAACACACAATGAAGGTTTTCGGGTGGTATTTTCAGTATCTCCAGGCAAACATGCTCTATGGCATTCTCATGTGGGTGATTAGGATAAAGAATGAAAACACTGTGTAGGCAACTAACTTAAGCATGATATAATAAATGAAACCGTCTCCAGCTCCTCACCATCTGTCACTTTCTACATGTAGGCATAAAATCTGCACGTTAACAATTCTAGTATCTTCGCATCAGCCTGTTTTCCACATCACCTTAACATAACACTAAATGTTTTCAGCTGTGACATACTAAATGCTTGGGCATTATGGAGAGCCCCTCTAAATCCAATGGGGAGCTCAAGCAAAACTAGATGTGTTTTTTTTATACTGGTGGTATTAAAGCGGGAACTATAAGGTTTTCGGATCAATGTTACTTTACTTAGATATTAAAAACTTACAATTTGTATATGCAGTACATAAACAATATTGATAGGATTGTTGCAATAATGTGTAAAGTATACATTTCATACTAGGGCTGCAACTAATGATTTTTTTCATAATCGATTAGTTGGCTGATAATTTTTTCGATTGATTGGATACAAAATGAAATAAGTCCCATCCTTAATTTTAAATAAAATACAAAATGGAGTGTTACAAAGTTTACTTCAGAATAAAACTGCACGCACACTTTTATGCAATCGCATTGCACTGGAACGCATGGCATTGAGGTACCACGAGTTCCAGTACAGACAATTGGAAGAATAGGTCACCAGCACTCCAAATATTTGTGTATTTTGCACGGTGCCATCCGTGGAGTTACTACAAGCACCATGTTTGTTTATTGGCCGGGACTGCTGAAAGGTGTGCGGAGAGTATCCTCACCAATTGCTTCCAGTACAGACAATCGCACTGTGGGTGGGAGGGGCGTCTGGGGTGCCATTGAAATGAATGGCACTGCAACGCACCTTCCGCAGCAGAATTTGTCAGGCCGAAACTGAAAAGGATACATTTTCCCATCTTTTATTAAAAAAAAATATATATAATTGTATTGTAAGCACATGAGGCTTGAATAGCTTCAGCCAGGGAGTAATAGCTGCCAGTGGCAAGATTCCACCGACGGCAGCTGAATGCAATTGGCCATTTCAATTTTTAATAGCAGGCTGGCTATTGCACCAGCCCACTGCTTGCTGTGCCCCCCTCCCAGTATGGAGGAAAGAGCAAGGGGATCCAACCAACTAATCGATAATGAGAATAGTTGGCAACTATTCTCATTAATGATTAGTTGGTTGCAGCTCTGGGTCCATCTTCGCTCCCCTGCTGCTGCCCGCTGTTTGGGTTCCCAAGCATCCTCTTCAGCCATTGGGTGGCCACTGATGACCTAACGGCAGAGACACAGGTTAGTTGTCACCTTTTTTAAAATGTTTTTGCATATATCTACTGCTTGCTAGCAGTAAATATATGCAAAAAACACAAGGGTTTAATTGTCCTTTAAGTGCAAGTATGTTGTATAAAACCACACCCTTCACACAGTGATTTACTTCTGCTTTAAAGTATTTGCAAATCTAAAATTAACTTGCATAAATATCTCTTACACATAGAGTAGGTGCTGTGTAGCAAAATGCAAACTATTGTCCTGTTCTCTTGTTCTAGCAGGAATGTGGATGTTTAGAGGCTGTTCCTAGCTAGGAATTACTAGACAGAAAAGCTCATCACAGACAGATCTCTTGCCAAGAATGTTGGGCGGTCACAGATCTCACTCACCTTTCAAAACATGCAAGGAAAGATTCGCCCCCAAAAAAGCACCCAGCTAACCGACTGATGCAAGGAAAAACTGTTTTTGGTAAATCATTGAAATGACATTTCTTGTAATTATTCTATCCCAAGATTTCAGTACAATGCTGTACAGTGTGTTTAACCCCTCAATGACCAGTGACGTCCATATTACGTCACTGGCACCGGGCCCGTTTAAACAGACTCCGCCGGGACTCTGTTTACAATTGTAAAGCCGACTGTCGGCTTTACAATAGAAGCGATCTGGCAACTCAGCTGTTGCCCGATTACTTCTCCGGGCCAGTAAACGGACCGCACCGACCGTTCACCGATCCCCCTCCCCGTACTACGGGACCGGGAGTGATGCAGATTACATCACTTCTGGTCCCATAGCTACCATTGCTGGGCTCCTGAAGCAATCTGCACTTCAATAGCTTATTTCTAGTGTAAAGGTGACACTGGGGGTCTTTTGGATCCCCGGCATCACCTTAAAGAGTACCTGTCACTGCCAATCTATCACATGGGGGGCTTTTAAGCATCCCCTTCGCCTATATGTGAAACACCCGGTAACGGGTGTGTGCATTTAGCGGGTCTTTTCTGCCCGTGCGTGCCCGCTAGGGGGCGCGCGCGAGCAGAAAAAAATTGCCGTCTGGAGACGGCAACCCGCAGATGCTGCAGTGCCGTCCGTCCGTTTTTTTACTACGGGCGGACGGCAAGAGGTTAAAATTATTAAATGAAATAAATGTAAAAATAATTTTAAAAAAGTTAAAGTCCCCGGTTCCTGCGAGCATACGCGCCTTTACGTAAACACGCGTTGGGTGCGCCTACTTATGAAACCGTCAATCGTGAAACACATGTTGGGAGTGAGAGCAATAATTCTAAGGCCAATATTTATGTGCATCTCTAAACTGATAACCTGTGGGGGGTTTTAGCGTCACCTATGGACTTTTTGGGGTACTGAATTTTTTTTGCAGTTTCACTGATGCGCACAATTTTTAACCTGGGCATGTTGGGTATCTGTTTACTCGTCGTAACCTCATCTTCTATATTTTGTTTTTAAAAATGGGTATTTTGTGTTTTTGGGGTATTTTTCACAAATGTTGAGGTTTGATAGTATGTTGCGCTAATATCCTGCAACATAAAATTTTTTACCTGCCACCATTTCATTCTACAGGGTCTTGGCTTTCAGAAAATATATGTGTTTGGGTTTGAAGTAATTTTCAGGCCTAAAATGTGGATTATAA